CCAAAGCAATGTACACATCTAATGCAACCCCTATCAAAATACCAACAGCAGTTTTCACAGAACTAAAACAAACAATCCTAAAATTTGTATGGAACCACAAAAGACCCCACCCCAATAGTCAAAGCAATCTTGTAAAAGCAGAGCAAAGCTGGAGGCATCACAACTCCAGACTTCATGTTATATTACTAAGCTGTAATAATCAAAACAGATGGTACTGGTACAAAAATAGATCAATGGAACAGAATAAAAAAAATTGAGAAATAAGCCCACAATTATATGGTCAATTAATCTTCAACAAAGCAGGAAAGAATATCTAGTGGTGAAAAGGACAGTCTCTTCAACAAATGGTGTTGGGAAAACTGGACAACAACATGCAAAAGAATGAAACTGGACCACTTTATTACACCACAGGCAAAATTAACTTCAAGTTTGATTAAAGACCTAAATTTGAGACAAGAAATCATAAATATCCTAGAGGAGAACACAGGCAGTAACTTCTTTGACATCAGCCATAGCAACTTCTTTCTAGATAGGTTTCCCAAGGCAAGGGAAACAAAAGCAAAAAGAAGCTACTGGGACTTTATCAAAATAAAAAGCTTCTGCACAGCAAAGGAAACAGTCAACAAAACTGAAAGACAATCTATGGAATGGGAGAAGATATTTGCAAATGACTCATCTGATAAAGGTTTAGTATCCAGAATATATAAAGAACTTATAAAACTCAACTCCCCCAAAATAATCCAATTAAAAATGGAAAGAAGACATGAATAGATATTTCTCCAAAGACATACAGATGACCAACAGACACATGAAAAGATGCTCATCATCACTCATCATCCAGGAGATATCACCTCACACCTGTCAGAATGGCTAAAATCAACAACACAAGATACAACAGGTATTGACAAGGATGTGAAGAAAGGGGAACCCTCTTGCATCATTGGAGGGAATGCAAACTGCTGCAGCCACTGTGGAAAACATATGGAAGTTCCTCAAAAAGTTAAAAATAGAACAACCCTAAAATCCAGCAATCACACTACTGGGTATTTACCCAAAGAATAGAGAAACACTAATTCCAAAGGATACATGCACCCGTATGTTTATAGCAGCATTATCTACAATAGTCAAGATAATGGAAGCAGCCCAAGTGTCCATCGAATGATGAATGAATAAAGATGTGGTGTAGATATACAATGGAATATTATTCTGCCATAAAAAAGAATGAAATTTTGCCATTTGCAATGACATGGATGGAGCTAGAGAGTATTATGCTAAGCAGAATAAGCCAGTCAGAGAAAGACAAATACCATATGATTTTACTCATACGTGGAATTTAAGGGGAAAAAAACAAGCAAAGGGAAAAAATAAGAGAGACAAATCAAGAAACAGACTCTTAACTACAGAGAACTGATGGTTACCAGAGGGAAGTGGGGGGGGGGGCAGAGGGATGGGTGAAATGGGGGATGGGGATTAAGGAGGCCACATGTGATGAGCACCGGGTGATGTGTGGAAGTGCTGAATCATTATATTGTATACCTGAAACTAATATAACACTGTGTGTTAACTGGAATTAAAAAAAAAAAAAAAAAAAAAACTTCAAAAGAATACTACTAATTGACAGCTTTAAAAAAAAAAAAGAAAGAAACCATAATCCTCCCTCCCCACGAATTCTGTCAATCACTGGTACTTATGTGCTCACAGTCAGGCTCCTCGGTTCACACATGTAACGTCTGCCCCCTTTCTGTGTCACCTAGGTAACAAAGCTCAATTCCACACTGGTTTTCACAAGAAACCACCATGTGCATTGAGCCTTGTACATGCTATTATAAATTTACTGAATATTTAGGAGGTTGGGGGGACCACATCACTCAGTGAGTCACCTTCCACCCTTTCACTGGTTCTCCTATGCTCCCAACCTTTCTCATCGCCTGGGTCCCTCTTAATAAGAGCCCACAGCTCTCTCTCCTTGGACATGAACAACAGTGTCCCCATGTCCAGGATGCTGCCCACCTCCACTGTTACCCCAAGCTGGCTCAGCAGGAATTTTCACAAGGTCAGTCCTATGGGTATTATCCTAAGGAGAAATTTTCATAAGGGATACTAATTGGGGGGGACCCCTTCACTTTATCCCCCTTGTTTGGGTGACCGTCCCCAGCACTGCCTGCTTACAATAGCTCACATTGATTGAGTACACACGAAAGATCTCTGTGCTAAGTAACACATTAAGATTCCCAACCACTCATAACCCAGAGAAGCTATCAGATGTGGCCAAGTCACTCAGCTAAAAGGCATCAGGGCTGGGATTTGAACCCAGGGCGCTTCAAGTGGGAGCCCCATTACCTTTAGCTATACTACGGACACAGGCCAAAATGGCAGCGCCCACCGAGACACCATCCCAGTATTTGGACACCAGGACAGCCTTGAGCTAAACCACAGAGGACACTTGGTGAGAATCCTTTCCAAGCCCTAAAGGATCACTGGGAACAGAACACTGGCTTCCCCCGTCTTTCTCCTGTTGCCCATACCTGGACTATGTAGGCCATCCTTGGCTGTGGGGAGACCTGATGATGCTTGGCAGCTCCAGCACCCCGTCTGCGCACACATCACTGGGCTGGATGTCGCCATGCTCCTGCTGCCACTCCAGTCACGTGAATCCTCCCATCCTCAAGTGCGAGGATGGCTCCGATTTAGGATTAGAAGAACCCTGCACCTTCCGCAGCCCTCTGGGCATCATGGGAGAGTGACCTGGAAAATCAAATGCAGCGAAGTGTCCCGAAATATAGGAGTCTTGTTTGAGGCACAGTAGAACCTATTAGCTTGAGAAATTGGTCTGGAAATCTTATTAAAAGAGACAAATCTGCCTTCTCTCCGGACTGAAAATATTGGGGGTAATAGACTTTTTCCCTGATTCCTGGGACCCATGCACCTCCTGTCAGAATCACAGCCAACCTCTGGCAAGGCTCAATTCAATGCAGGTGATGAAGGCTCTTATTTTTTTTAATGGGCAGTTCTGATTAATTCTGATTTCTTTGGCTAGCCACCGCCTTACCTCTACCAGTCCCTCATTACTGTGAAGGTTGCAAGCCAGAAGAGCCAATGGCAAAGAGAAATCAAGTTCAGGTTGTGGGTTTGTCGTTATTGCACAGCTCAGCGGGTAACTGTCCAGCACCCCCACCACACACACACCCAGGTCCTTTCTCAATGTGCTCAATTAACCCATGATGGACACAGGAAAGCAAGGCACCATTGCATTATGAAACCTAGCCTTCCTATGCTCATCTTTGCTATTTAAGAGGAATGATAAGAAGAATCCTTCAAATATATGTGTTAGCTATTATCATTATGGTGGTTATGTTTGCTGGACACTGATATGTTCCAGAATAATGTGACTCACTGGAATTTAGTGGATGCTTATTTCATGCCTGGCACTATGCAAAAGGCTTTCTTCACATGTTATCAACTCCTTTATCCTTAGAACAACCCTGTAGGTCAAGGGTTGGCAAACTTGCTCTGTAAAGGACCAGACAGGAAGTATTTTAGGTTTTGCAGGCTACTTTGGGTTATGCAAGGTATTCTCAATTACTCAGATCTGCCGTTGTCATTTGAAAGCAACCACAGACAATACATAAATGAGTAAATATGGCTGTATTTCATTAAAACTATATCTACAAAATCAGCCAACTGGCCAGGTTTAGCCTGTAAGCCATCGTGTGAACATGTTATTCCCAAGCTGGAATTTGGGCTCTTTTCTCTCTCCTATAATCCTCCTTCCTCCCTGCTCTTCCATTCTGGTTCTAGTTCTGGAGCAAAGATAGAATAAATAGTTGTTTTTGCATGTGACTGGCCAGGGACAGTTGGCTGATCTCAACAAGAAGGAGAAGGATCATTTTCATGAAGATCCTGCATCCATGGTGGCCATAGGGGGGCCATCAGATATCCCTGGGAAATCCCCAGATTTCCCAACTCTGGGGCTATAGACCTGGACAGGGTCTATCTCCATGCCCCTTCAAAACTGGGGATTTGAGGAAGCATGCTTTGCCCCTCTCTGAGCCACAACCCCTGCCACCGACCTGAATATTCTTTCATCAACAGATAGAGGGGAATAAATTACTGTCTCACCTTGATGGTGCTATAAAGGTAGGGAACAATTTAGGATCTTAAGCCAGGGTTTCTCAATCTCTGCTCTATGATATCATGTAGGATGGTTAGCAGCATCCTGGCCTCTACATGCTAGATGCCCATAGCAACTCCCAGGTGTGACCTTCAAAAATGTCTCCCAACATTGCCAAATGTCCCCCGGCTGACAAAACCACCTCTGGCTGAAAACCACTGTCTTTGGTCAAAGGGCAACCACTGCCTTTTGCCCTCAACTGTAGGTCCTAACTCCCAATTCCAGAAAAATAGGAAAGATCACAGGCAGGATTTCTCAGCACCATGTCACATGATCTCTGGTGCAAGGTAAGCATAACTGTCCCCATCTTACGTAAGAGAAAACAGGCCTGGGTCACAGCAAGTGAGCAGCAGAGCTAGGATGGGGACCCAAGCCTGTCAGATGCTAAGGCCTGTGTGTTTCTTAAACTAGTGATGATCTGATGATGAGAGGGACACTGGGAAGGTTTTTCCGGAATGGGGAAGTTTGCCTGGATTCGCGTTGAACTAGAGACTGTACTTGCTCCTTCTAATCCTGCCAGCACTTCAAGGGAGGTATTATTTCCCCTTGCTTTACAGAGGAGGAAACTGAGGCCCAGCAACCCTAACAAATGGTTTGAAATCAACATAGCAAAGATTTTTAAGTCCAGTGTTTCTGTGTTCAGAGCTTTGACTTTTTAACAACAAACATGGGTGGCTGCACCCCAACGGGGAAGTGGGGTCAAGTTTCCCACCTACTACCTTCCTAGCCAGCATGTTCTGCAGGCAGCAGGAAAGGGCTTGGTGATAAATGAGCCCAACGCCCACCACCCCTCCCTCGGCCTCTCTCTCTGACCTCTCCCTTGCCCCAGCTCTGTATGCAGTACTGGCCTGAGAAGACCTCCGGGTGCTACGGGCCCATCCAGGTGGAGTTCGTGTCCGCAGACATCGACGAGGACATCATCCACAGAATATTCCGCATCTGTAACATGGCCCGGGTAAGCATCCAGCCTGCCTCGGCTTCCTGTGCTGCTCCTCCCCAGCCCAGATGGAGGCAGTCCTCAGCCAGCCAGGAGTCTGTGCTGTGCTCTCCTGATCATCCCATCCTTGGGGAAGCAATGCTTCTGCCGACTCCAGCTTCAGACCCAACAATGGCTCCAGCGCTCAGAGACGCACGGGGAAACCTCCAGCCTGCCATCTGCCTCTTTCCTGACACGCTGTCTTATAGTCAGAACTGCTCAGAAATCAGTGCTTCCCCACTGTGCTGTGCTGTTTTGGCATGAGGTGACAGGGTCTTTGATTGGATCCAGTAAGCTTTGGGCTAGACCTTGAGAACACCAAGATGGAAAATAATTAGTTGCTTCCGTGGGGAAATTCACTGGCTAGGTGGAGGAGAAGTGGGTGGGAGGGAGCAGATGAGTAGTCTATGAAATAGCTAAAGAACGACTTTGGTCTTTACTGGGGGTCCCAGGGTGAACAGAACTCCATCTCTGCCCTCAGTTCACTGTCCAATGGGAAGGTGAGCTATGTTCTGGCATGTGAGCCTTGGGGGAAGAGATGAATTCTGCCCAGTAGAGTCAGCTTTTCCTAGAGAAAGGGACATTTGAGTTGCGTTTTGGAAACCAGTAGTTTTCCAAGGAGAAAGGGGGTGCAGGGAAGTCATGGCAGGAGAATCCATGTGCACAAAGGTAGAAAGAGGAGTGTGTCCCCATGACAACATAGCGTTGACCCCATTCGGTCTGTCTCCCACTCCAGTGCTGCAGCCCCAGGGCCTGTGAAGGGCTTACATCCCTGGCAGAACAGCCCTAACGGCCTCTCTGTTCTCAGCCTCAGGATGGGTATCGTATAGTCCAGCACCTCCAGTACATCGGCTGGCCCGCCTACCGGGACACACCCCCCTCCAAGCGCTCTCTGCTCAAAGTGGTCCGACGGCTGGAGAAGTGGCAGGAGCAGTACGACGGGAGGGAGGGGCGCACCGTGGTCCACTGCCTGTGAGTGCTATGGAGGGCTTTCTGGGGGTGGGTGACCGGTATCTGTCCTGGAGGATGCCACTGACCATGGGCATGCCTGGCCATGACCATGGGCATGCCATGGGACACTGGGAAGGTTTTTCCGGAATGGGGAAGTTTGCCTGGATTCACGTTGAACTAGAGACTGTACTTGCTCCTTCTAATCCTGCCAGCACTTCAAGGGAGGTATTATTCCCCCTTGCTTTACAGAGGAGGAAACTGAGGCCCAGCAACCCTAACAAATGGTTTGAAATCAACATAGCAAAGATTTTTAAGTCCAGTGAACTTCCCTTAAAAGCCATCCCTTAAAAGCCCAGGGGTGTGTATTCAAGGAATTACAATCTTTCATGGACTGGGGTTGCCCGTCTGTTGCCCTGAACTAACTAAGGTTATGTGACATGTTATTGATGCAAAACCTGGTGGTCTTTCACAAACATCGGGTGTGGGCAGGCCGCCCCCCAGCACACCCAGTAGGGAGGTAAACTCCACTCCCCACAGGAGGCACGATGTGTCCTGTTAGTCGCAAGAAAGCTAGGACGAAGTGGATTCCACTGACCAGATCCTCCAATTATTTCCTAAAGAAGGAAAAGAAGAAAGAAAGGGGCAGGTGTTGATTGAGTTTGATGCCAGATGTTTTAAGTGAATCTTAAAATACCATCTGTGAGGTAGGTGTAATCATGTAGTAAAAAACAGGCACAGACAGGGGAAGGGACCAGGCAGTTAAGAGAGGAGCTTTGATTTAAAGCCACTGGCCTCCAAGCTAATATGCCATCTGCTAACCCACACTGCTTCTGAGTAAACCAAAGGACCCATCCGCCACGTCACCTTGTGGGATCATCTCTTGCTATGGGCGTAGTGGGCACGCAGGGACATGGGGAGCCTGTGGGGCGGATTGATGGCTATGAAGGGCCCTGGGAACTCTGTTTCCCAGAGCTCAGTGGGCTCAGGTGGGCTGTGTTTATACTTCCACTGCTGGGGCATGCTGGAATCTCTACCACCTATCTTAGAATGGGCGTGGCTGGGGCACAGGGGTTCCCAAATAGACCTTGATGCCCAGTGGAGGTCAGGACCCTTAGGGGACTAGGGCTGACAAGCTGTCATCAAGAAAGTCACTTAATTGAGTGAGCCTCAGTGTCCTCATCCATCCAGTGGGTATGTTGAATTAGGTCATCTTAAGACCCTATCGTGCTTTGGTAGGAAATAGAGAAAAAATACAATTCATCTACCAACATACAGACCCATAATATCATGGTAGCAAATATGCACCTGTTGTAAAAGTGATTACTTCCAAGAACCTGTGTCAGAGTCTGCCAGAGGAGTATAAAATGACCTCAGAGAAGGATCCCGCAAAGATCTCAGACCCAGAACACATGTGTAACCCCAGCCGTAACAGCCGTATGTGCAACATCTGACTGGCAACCGTCACTTTGCTGCCAAGAACGTGGAGGTTGGGGGGAGGTGACGGAGTGGGCCCTGCTCTCTCAAAATGTCGTGTCAGAGGACTTGGGAGCAAGCTCTTTCCTTTTCGGAGTAAATATTTCTGGGGCCAGCAGAGGCATTAATAACACCTTACTGACCTCAGAATCGAGTTCAGTCTTTACAAAACCAGCTTATTGTTCCCACCTTTCAAACAAGTGGTGCATTCACGTGTCAGGAAAACCAGACAGGCACGCGCACACACAGCTTAAGGCCACCACCTATCACAATCCTTTCTTCTCCAAGGACGCAAATCACGAACCAGGGACCAGGAAGATGCCGTGAGCTGTGTCACGCCGATGGGCGCTATCAGCCAAACCAAGCTGGTTCTGCCCACATCCTAGAACCTGGCAACTGGTTCCCTGCCAACGAGCCCCTGCCCCCTCCAGGTCCCTCCCACACACTCAGGTGGCCTCCCCTGTAGCCCACAGCCACACCCGTCCCCATCCGGGTCTCAGTCAACCAGGCCCTGGGATACCTGTGCCCACTCACCTCTTCCTCTTGGACTCTGTCATTCTTGCTTTGGAAAGTACTGAACCCTCCTTCTGGGGAGGGGGGATCCGTTCTTCCTCCTCTGCAGGTGATTGTTTTTTAGCCCACTTTTTGGAAGGAGTACTTTTTTATCCAGGTCCCCCCTCGCCAAGGTGACCCACAGTTTGAACCCAAGGAAAGCACAGGCATGTCCTCCTATCAATGGGGACCGTGGCATCCTCGGAGGCCAGACACAACAGACACCAAAATGCAGGCACTGGCCAGTGAATGGAGGGCAACTGTCTGTACCTGAAACATCTGCTTGTTGGGTGTCCTGTAGATAAAACATCTGGGAAACCGAGCGCCTTAGTTTCCATCCAGATGTTCTTTAGACATAGGCCATTACATGCAATCATTAGTTGCCCTTGGCAACACGCCCAGGAGTTCCAAATCAGGCAGATTCCTAAAGGGACTTTCTGTAAATAGTTGGAGGGGTGTTTCCATGAACATGAATTATGGAGCACCGGAAAGGAGAGTCAGAGAGGTGACCTGCCAGGAGCCCTGGAGCTCTGCTCTCCCGATTGACAGGGTCTTGCTTAAACCAGGGTGCCCAGAGACCTATCATTTCAGGATAGAACATCTCAGACCTACCCAGCCCCACCTCCAAACCTAGGCTGGCTGACCTGAGGCTGTTTCTGTCCTTAGTGGATGGAAAGAACTAGAATGAAAACCACCTGGAACCTTCCACGGTCTTCACTGGATGTGTAGGTGGACCCAGAGCCTCCTTTTGGACAAGGATGCAGGCACCACACGTACAAAGACACTGTCACACTGTTTGGGTCAGTGTGCCATGGGTGACTTTAACATGCTCATAGAACCAAGGAAACATCGGGCTAATTGAATTCTCAAAGAGCATCTAGTCCAACCCCTCCATTGTATGGATAGGAAAAGACTTGCCCAAAGTCAAAGCAGGTTCATGGCACCAACGGAACTCAAACCACTAAGACTTTCACCGTAGCCTGACTTTTGCACATACCAGGCCAGCCACTGCCCACTACTCCTGATGTGGTTTTAGGACCAGCAGGTGCCTGGGGGGTACCCAGGCATATCGCTCACCTCTGTCCCTCTGTGTCTAGAAATGGGGGCGGCCGCAGTGGGACCTTCTGTGCCATCTGCAGTGTGTGTGAAATGATCCAGCAGCAAAACATCATCGACGTGTTCCACATTGTGAAAACGCTGCGTAACAACAAATCCAACATGGTGGAGACCCTGGTGAGTGTCCCAGGAGGCTTCTACCATGGCAGGGGACTGACCCTAGTTCCCTGATCTGGAGAAGACAGCCTCAGATAGTAAAAACACCCAACAGCTGGCTGTGTACAGAGTCCTGATGGGCCACAGCCTTTGTACAGTTATTTCCTGCAAGGCAGCCCAAATACTCATCCTGATGCCATAGATTCTGGCTTAGGAGAGTGTGCATTATATTTTCAATTCAGTCCAATCCTATTCTAATTAATGTATGCAACTTGCACGGCGTAAGCACAGGGCTCAGACACCGTGCGGAAAGGGGTGGACAGTACGTGGGCGGGCGGAGCCCAGGTCATCAGGCCCACTGCACAAGGAACTTTGCTCCAAGAGTCTTAACCGACTTGAAGCATGTTCCTACTCAAACTCCGGTCCACAGGCCAGCAGTGTCAGCATCACCTAGGCAGGCCCCTGATAGAAATGCAGAATCCCAACCCACTCCAGATTTACTCAGAGTCTGCATTTTAGAAAGATTCCTGGGTCCTTCATATGCACCTTACAGTCTGAGAGGCACTGGAGTCCAGAATGGTGAAAAGGAAAGGAATGACCCACTGGGCATCTGGGAAGGCGTGGGTGTAAGTAGGCATGGGGCAGAACTTGGGGGGATGTCCAGATACGGATAATTACGTGGGTAATTTTGAGTTGACTGTTAGTATGGATGTAGGTAAAGCTTCCTCCAAAATCTGTGTCTCTAACCTAAATGCATCTCCCCTTTCCTTTTCATCTCTCTCTCTTGCCTCCTCTACTCCCTCTCTGCCTCTCCCCCTCTCAGGAACAGTATAAATTTGTATACGAGGCGGCACTGGAATATTTAAGCTCCTTTTAGTCCGATGGGATGGGGAGCCTGCCAGAGCCCAGAGGCTGCTGCAGCCAAGCCCCCTTTTCTGTGAATGGCAGTGACTGGGCTCAGGGTCTAAGAGGCAGCACCCTGCCCAACTCCAAGGAGAAGACTGTGGTCCTGTGTTCCGTGGTGGGCTCTGCACCTTCCAAGGGGTCTCCTGTAGCTGTGGGAGATGCTGCTCTGAAAGGCCCAGGCTTCCCTTCCACACCCAACCAGCTGGAACCACGGGCCTGTGCACAAGTGCGCCCATGGCAAGGCCCTGGATTTTTCCGTTCCCAGACCTCCTGCTTTTGCTCTTTTCAAGTTTGTGAATCTCCTGGCAAGCCGGCTGTGTGAGTGTTGGGGAGTGACAGCCTCAGCAGCACGTCCCTGCCCTAGTTGTCCTTGGGAGTGGAGGGGGTGTGGGTTCTACTCCATGCTGTCGTGGAAATGACTGGGCTCTTGGGGGTCCCTGCACTGCTGCCCCTTGTAGTCTCCTTCAGGGATCTCTGGCGCTGGACACCTGCCAGTCTGGATCAGTGTGAACCTCGGGATGCTCCCGACACCACAGCAGAGGCCCCCATTCTCACACCTAACCTGCATGGGGCTTGGCCCAATACCATTCTGTACCCCTCCCCTAGCCTAGGCCTTGACCCGTCATTCACTGGCCAGCCCACTGTGTCCAGCCTTTGATAAAGGTTCTCTTTGCTTTTCGTAATCAGTGGGACGGGGGAGTGTGGAATTTTGCTGCTCTTCCTTGTCTTTGTGAAAAGGAACCATCTCTCTGGGGCAGGGCTCTGGCTGACCTTGTGTCTTTCGGGTGGTGGATAAGATTTGATTATTTTCCAAAGTGCATATGAAAAGAAACTTTCTTTGGGGGTGTAAAATCTTAGTCTGTTATGCCAAAATAAAAGAGAGAGGGAAGTTTGGATGTGTAACTATAAGACAAATCTCTCGGGCCTCTCATCTTTCCTGGCAATGTCCTTAAAAGATCCCACCCTGGAACAGCACTGCTACTGAGCAAGGGAAACAGGCTCATCTGAGGACGGTCCCTTCAGTTTGTGGGGCAGATAGAGTGCCAGCTTTGTGCATCATCTTGAATCTCCAAATTTGAACTCCCTCCTAGAGAAACCCTTAGCTGCCATCGTGAGAAAGGCCACAGTGGACCCAGGTATGTGGTCAAGGAGATCACACCAGGGATCTAGGATCTTATCCAAAGTATGGGTAAGTCAGTGACAGGGAACCAACATTTGCTAAGCACCTGCTGTAGGCCAGGCTTGGCACGTTCCATATGACATTTCACGTGGTCCTAGACTCCCATGAGAGAACTACTAACCTGTGATCATCTCTACTTCATGACTGGGGAAACTGAGGCATCTTCCTCAGTGATGAAATTCTGGGTTCTGAAAAGGCAGACATTGGTGATAAGACTTATTCATACTGTTTTCTTCATCGTTCTCAGCAAAGCAGTTATTTTGTGGAGAGGAAAATAAGGCTAGAAACTTCTGAGCAGAGAACTCCACAATGGAAATTTAATTCTTTCTTTCTGATGTGAGTTCTTCTGGGAAGCCCAGAATTTCAGATATATTTTTAGTAATTCCTTCCCGGCTCCCCAGGAAAGCTAGTCTCTTCTCATTTCTTCACCAGTGAAAACAGATGCCTATTCCCTCAGGCTGTGAGGTCGGCCAGCCAGGGACATGCTCTCTACCTTGGTCTCTACTGGGTGCTCAAGCACAGTATCTGGCAGCCTCGGGGTGGCCTGGGATCTAGGAAGCTCCGCTGGGAGGCCGGTCTAGCCCCAGACAGGGGATGAGGAACACAGAATTCAAGAAGGCACAGTTTTTGCACCCAAGAGCTCACTGTATACTGGAGAGATTGGCCCCCAGTGCAGAGGTGGTAGAGCATATGAGTATTACAGGAACCTGGGAGCAAGACTCTGCCTGCCTAGGGCTTTCTAGAGGGGATGGCATCGACTCCAGCTGGATCTCAACAGATAGAAAAAGGAAAGAAAGGAAATCAGTCCCAGGAATCAGGATGTGCAGTGGCAAAGAGGTGTGAAAACTCCTTGGGTTGGGGGCCGGCAGGGGGGCACATGGTATGGTGGCAGGTGAGCCCAGCTGGAGCATAGCACTGCCGAAGGGGTGGCAGGAGATGAGCCAGGGTCAGGGAGAAGAGAGCTTACCTGGAGTATAGAATACCCCTGTGGGCAACAGGGGGCCAGCAGAGCTCCCGAGTGATGTGCTCGGCTCAGTGTTAGAGAAGACTCTCTCTGGGGCCAGTGGGGCTGCCTCTTCTTTCATCAGACACTGTGAAAACATTCCCTGAAGCGCGTGCTTTTTAATATCACATCTGTTTGTCTGTCTGCTCATTATTTTGTTGCTGGAACAAAATACACAGTGGATCATAAGACTCAGCTTCTGTGAGACACTCAGGGTCTCTGCTCTACCGTGGAGCAAGGTGACCAATCCAGGCCTCCAGAGCCATGAGGCTGGGACATGAAAGGGGCCCACAGAAGTTGTTCCCATTGGCCTCGGCTCTGGAGCTGTCTGGAAGTCCAGGGACACCAGACTTGATCACAGAAGGGCTGTCACTTTGGAGGTTCAAAAGGAAGCATCTCAAAGGAAAGGAAGGCAAAGGAGCGCCCCTCCCCCCCTGCAACAAACTCACTCTTCTCCTTTGATGGGTCTCTTCCCCAGTGTGCTTGAGCAGGTCCCCTGGCTCCAGTCCACGACTCCAGCCAGCCCTCACGCTGCCTTCAAGGAGCTGGTAACAAAGCAAATCAGCCTGTCCTATGCTCTTTTCTCAGATCATGGCTCATCCCTGCAGAATGGGGGAGGGGAGCTATCCAACACAAAGCCTAAGATTATTCTGCTCCAGAAGGGGTGACAGAGCTGGCAGATAAAAACGACACTGGCTTCTATCATTTCAAACGGTAGGAATCTAAAATGTGACTTCAGGGAGAAGGGAAATTGGAAAAATTCAGGCCACGATGGGGTACCTGACCCAACAAGGCCGGCGATGATTCCCCCAGCTAAGCGCCCCCCCCCCCCATTTCCTCAAAACCTAGCCGCTCTCCAAAGAGGGCAGGGCAGTGAACAGGTCTTGGGCCTGTTTACAAGGGATGAAACTAAGGCTCATGATGGGGATATCTTCCCGAAGATTCCACATGACATGCATGTGGCAGGGCTTGGATGAGATGGGGCACCAGTGCCCTGGAATTTGGACTTGATCCAGTCCTTGGGAAATAAGAGCAAACACCACCTCCCCCAAGCGATCTTCCCACGCTGCTCCACTTAGAGGGTGGGCCACCTTTCACAAGGCAGAGGAAAATGGTATCCATGCTCTCTGAGCCTCCACAGCAGGAGCCAGCCTCTCATCTCTGGGGTGCCAAAGGGAGCGCCCCCACTTAGTACAGAGCCTCAGGGTCACCTTCTAGTTAGTGAGAAGCCAGAACCATCACCAGCCTCATGCGTTTATGGCCTTGATGGCTTCAGGAATCACTTAGCTATGCCTCCACGAGCGCCCTTTCACCCTTTCTGGGCCTCTGGATGACCACAGCCCACCTCCCTTCGTGCAAACAGAAGGATCAGACTGCTTTTTAGGCTGGCCCTCTCTTTGTGTGTGGCCTGAGCAATGGCCTGCCAAAGGTTAGCCTTCCCATGGAACCAGCAGAACCTGTGTTGGGGACACTAACCAGAGAGCTCACTGAATTCTTCCAACATCCCTAAGCAGTGTTTGTGTTTGTCACCATTTTACAGATGAGGAAACGAAGGCTGAGAGAGGAGAAATCACTTGCCCACAGTTCCCCCAGTTAGTGAATAGGGGAGCCAGGAATTCAATTTCTTCTGACTTCAAAAACCATATTTTTCCACCACTGTGACTCAGATTTTCCCATGGGTCTACCCATAATGGCAAAGAGTAGAGTGGAACAGAAACCCAGTGGGTCTTGTAAAGCCCAAAGCAGACAAGCTTAAAATTCCTTCACAGTCTCTTGTTTTACTTTAACAATTCATGCAATACTTGCATTCCACTCTAATTTGCCTGATTTGTTTTAATAGGACTATTTTTTAAATGATGTGCTCTGAGGTCCTTCCAGCCCCTCAACTCCCTATGACAGAACCTAGGGAATCATATCGCAGTCTGAGAGGCATAGCGTCTGCACTGCTTCCTCCTGAGACCAATTCCAGACTCAGGCTCAAGACCAGCTCAACTTCCCCTAGACAGATGCTTTGGTGTGGGGGTACTCACCATTCATGGGTCGATCTCAAGTTTCTTCCAGTTGGATGCTGAAAGGAACCCATTGGAAGGCATATCCTGGAATGATGAGGATGTGCCCATCTGGCATGGTGAAGGCTGAGCCCATAATACCCTAAAGGGAAAGGAGAAGATGTGCACAGCCTTTCTGAGCAGATTCCTGAATGCTGGGGCTTCTAGAAGGTGATGCCCTTTGTCTAGGTGGAGTCACATGGTTGCTAATGTGGGCAAATCTAAGGACATGCTTCACATGAGGGGCTGGGGTCTGGAAGTCTTCTCACTTTACTTCAACCACACATACATACTGGGTTCCTGCAACATGCCAGGCAGGGCACAGGAAGCACAGGTTATTATGGCACAGTTCATCCCTTGGTGAGGCATAGGGTTGTGGTTGGAAGAGCTTAGTCTTCAGTTCACGTCTCAGCGTGGCCATTTCTTAGCTATACAATGTTGGGCCAACCAATTAATGGAAAAGATGTGAAAAAAAGGAGCCTCAGCTGGGTAGAAGGCATAGATTTGGAGAGTTTTGGGCAGGAAAACAGGAAGGCAAGGCCAAGGAGTTGGGACCCAACAGAAATACTCAAGGATGCACATGGACTACAGAGCAAAGTGGTCACTTCTGTTGCTCAGAAGGACAGGGGCTGGGGAGGGCTGGCCAGGACCACTGGAAGCAAGTATGTCACTTTAGAACAAGTTTCAGTGTCCTGGAGAAAAGATGATAATTTTCCCTCTAACCAATCAAGTCATATCTATTCATCATATGTTCCCCATTGCTGAACTAGCTCCTGCTATATGTTCTCAGGAGGATCCACTTTCCTCAGCTCTGGTATGAATCCCTGTTGTGTGCATGTAGGTATCAGTCTAGTTAAGCTGCTGCAGACAGCAGAAGTGAGGCCCAGTGGGGAATAGCCAGGTACTCACCATGTCATCTCAGCAGGAGTAACTGCCCTACCCAGACCCAGAGACATCGAAGCAGATGCTAATTCTCCTACACCTCACTGCCATAGAACAGAATGAAGAAAGCCACCTTCCTTTAGCCCGCACCTGGCTACCCCTGGGCTAGGTAGACAGGCCACCAGCACCCAGCTAAGTCAGCAGTAATGCCATGGGAAACACGAACAGCCCAAGAGTAGGAGGAGCAGGATGCTAACAGATTGTGCTGGGCCAGATCTGTGGGGACCAAAA